CTAAAGATTGGATCACATATCACGGTTGATTATTCTATCAAGCGGCTAATCTAATTGAGACGCCCTAAAAAGCTCCTCACATAATTCTTATTCTTCGGAAATGGCAAGTCCTGGATAGCTTTGACTTTTGATGGGTCCAACTCAATCCCTCGGTGACTGACGATGAGTCCTAACAACTTTCAAGCAGGGACTCCGAAGGCACATTTTTTAGAATTCAGATTCAAATTGTATTTTCGAAGCCGATCTAAGAATTTCTTCCTGTCTGCTATGTGATCCGAACTCCTTTTAGATTTGATGATAATGAAATCCATGTACACCTCTATTTCCTTATGTATTATGTCATGGAATATGGTTGTCATGGATCTTATGTAGGTGGCTGCTGCGTTATTCAGACCAAATAGCATCATTTTGTAACAATATATCCCCCACAGTGTGATGAAGGTTGTCTTTTTGACATCCTCTTCATCCATTCAGCTCTGATGGTATCCTGCGAACCTATCCACAAAGGATTGGAGATCATGCTTAGAATTGTTGTCAATCAGTATATGTATATTGGGAAACTGGAAATCATGTTTGGGACTTGCCCTATTCATAACCTAACCTTCCCATCTTTCTTCAGAACTGGCACAATGTTGGCCAACCAAGTCGAGTATTCGACCACTTTAAGAACCTTGGCTTTGATTTTCTTGGTGACCTCCTCATTTATCTTCAAATTCATATATGGCTTGAACTTCCTGAGCTTCTGCTTTATCGATGGACACATAGGATTAGTGGGTAGCTTGTGACCCACTATGGATGTGCTCAAACCAGTCATATTGTTGTAGGACCATGCACATATATCTTCATACTCTTTTAGGAATATAATGTACTCTTCCTTCTAGCGGTGATAGATCAATGCTTGTATGTGTTTCCTTGATCATTTCAAAATCCCCTAAGTTAACGGCCTCAATTCTCTCCAAATTAGACTTTGGTTTATTCTCAAAGTTTTCCACTTCTCTAACGATTTCCTCAGGTATTATACCATTTTCCAGATCCTCTGAATCACTATCCTTATGTTCCGTTGTCTCATTACATGTCACAGACGTAGGTTCATCGGGATAGGTAATAATAATGCTAAAAAGAAAAATGTAAAACTAATAATAAATAGGAAAAATGCATTAATAAAATCTTAAAAACGTCAACAATTGCGGCTCGATGGCTCGAGCAATTATTTCAAAGCAAAATACTAAAAAATGTCTTCAATACTCAAAACTATTTTTAAAGTAATTCATGCTAATTTGCTAGGCTACCTAGGAACTCGACAGGCCCGAGATGGTGCATCGGTCTAGTTCTTGAGCACAACCCCTTTTTCCACAGTCTGAATGGTAAAGTATTCCTCCTCCTCTTCAACTATTGCACTGTAGTCCATATCTTCTTCATCTAGAAATATCTTGCTCATGCCAACTAAGTCTTCATCTTCCTCAGATCCCCACATCATGTCAGCTTGATGGGAAGTATAGTGCAGAGGTGGTTTTGGTTGTTCCAGTGAATAATAAGGACCACGCCATGGTGGCGACCAATTCTGGTATTCTTGCCAGGTGTATTCATATCTTAGTCCAAAAATCATGCTATGAAATTGTGGTTGTATGGGTTTGGTGATCCCTTGAAGATTTTTGCGGAACCTTTGCCAGGTTCATACCCTATCCGTAGCAGTATTGTTTACCGTGAAAATGGTAATAATAATTAAATTTGATTATGGGTGAGACTTAGAAACGAGATAAGAGTTAGGAATAAGATGATAACCAAACCGATAGGTTAGCAACTGAGGCCTCGAGCTTGTCGATTCGGGGGCGTCGAGGTCAGTTCCGGGGCTCGGCTGGGAGCTATCGTAGGCAGCCAAAATATTGCTAACAGTTATAATAAAATCAACAAGGGCTCTTTATGGACAGTGATAAGAAGTAAATGATGAACAATAATGAAGATAATAAATGAAAGCAATAATATCAAGAGAATATGCTATAGAGCAAAGAGAATGTTCTTGTATATTTCGTGTGGACCAACTGAGGCAACAAGGGTTTACAAAATGACAAGGATCCCCTTTATATAGGAGGGGAGTCCCAACATAGTACAGAATACATTAATGACAAAGAAAGGGATATGAAAGCTAGATGACACCCTGATTCGGGTTTAGAGTAGCTCACTAGGCTCTGTCATTCCTTGTTGTGTACCTTGGAAACTCCCTATTTCTACCATTGCCGTAATCATCACTGCCCCAAGGCCAAGTGTCGACAACCTCGAGGGAGGATACTCGATCGTGGCCTCGAGCCTTCGAGGTGATCTTCCAAAGTGCCTTAATGGCGAGAAATTGGACCCTCCGATTTCACCGTATACAAGTATGCTTTCTATCTTGTTGCTCCACTATCGGTCCTTTTCAATTGTGTTGACTTACTCAATGCGATGGTATGTTTCTCCATCCATCCTTTTCCTGTTTTCGATGACTAAAGTGGTCTGATTGGTGTAGATAGGGTTACTTCCATCTCCATGAATAATCACCTCCTGATGATTCCATTCAAACTTCACAGCCTGATGCAGGGTTGAAGCTACTGCTGTAGCAGCATGTATCCATGGTCGTCCTAATAATAGGTTGTAAGTAGCAGATATATCCAACACTTGGAACTGGACATCAAACCAAGTCGGGCCCGTCTGTAGTCTGTGGTTTTATTTCTCCGATGGTGGCTCTCTGAGATCCATCAAATGCCTTCACATTCATGCTTCCCATCTGTATCTCGTGCATGCCTTTACCTAATCTCTTCAGAGTAGTCAGTGGGCATATATTGAGACTTGAACCCCCATCTATAAAGACCCTAGCGATAAACTTATCTTCAAATTGCACTGTGATGTGTAGTGCCTTGTTGTGACTCAGTCCTTCTGGTGGTAATTCATCTTCATGAAAGGTGATTTTGTGTCTCTCCAATACCTGCCCGACCATGTTAGCCATCTCCCCACTAATGATATTGGTGGGTACATAAGCTTCACTCAACACTTTCATCAAAGCATTCCTATGTGTGTCCGAATTTTGTAGTAGTGACAAGATAGATATCTAAGCGAGAGTTTTGGTCAAGTGGCCAACAACAAAGTATTGTCTTGCTTGTACCTTTCTCTAAAGATCATCAATGTCAGATTTGACAATAGGCGGCTTATATGTAGCTTCCTCGCTTGTTCCTTCCAGGTTCTCAGGTGTATAGATTCTACCAGTTCTAGTCATGCCTTGTGCCACATCTGTTTCCTCCTTTTTTGCTTTCCCTTTTCTTCTTGCTTCCACAACATAGTCCCATGGGATGGCATCGGACTTGTAGGATGGTGTAAGAGCTACCATCACGGTGAAAGGTGTAGATACCACAACTTTAAATGGTGCCTGAGTTTGTACCACAACTGGTGTGAGGGTGACTGGAGACGTTTTAGGAGCAACTCCCTCTCAAATGAGTCCGATTGACCCTTCTGGGTCCTATTCTTTACCAATTTCTATCACATTCACTCCCTCACCTCTGCGATTCGGGAGAGGATTGTTATGAACATTTGGTGCAACTTCCTTTTCCAGTATGACCTTAGTGTCGATCAGTGTTTGGATCATGTCTTTCAATGTGTGACACTCATCAATGGTATGGCCCTTCATTCTGAATGATAGGCACATGTTTTGTTGAGGTTGATCCACTAGGAAGGATTCTCCATAGCAACGGCAGGAATAAGAGTGACATAACCAACAACCTATAGTCTCTTGTATAGTTGGTCTATGGGTTCGCTAATTGGGGTGTATTTTCTAGGTGGTCTGTGGTCAAAATTTGTTCGTGGTTTTTGGTAGTTTTGGTGGGCGGGTGGCGGTGAATGGTGAAATGCGGGTTGAGTGTTATAGGCATGATAGGTGGTAGCGGGCTATTGGTATCTGGGGGTGAAGGTTGGTATGTGAGCGGAGGTGTTTGGTACGTGAGAAGAGACTTAGAACCCTGTGCTACCATTATGGCACCTACTTCTTTCTTCTTGGAAATACCTCCCGATTGTAAAGCTTTATACGTGGCCTGCAATGCCTCGAAATTGGTCACCATCCCGTTCTTAATCCCTTCTTCTATTCTTTCTCCTAGTTTGATGATGTCGGAGAATTTGTGATTTTCAAAAACCATCAACCTTTCATAATACTGCGGGTCTTGAGCTTTGATGAAGAACTTGTTTATTGTTTTTTTTCAAGTGTTGGCCATACTTTTGCGTCTTCTGATATCCAATGAGTAGCATACTCACGAAAGGTTTCTATCGGCTTCTTCTTGGGGTTTTGAATGTAGAAAATATCTGGCGTATTTTCCCTGTTGAACATGAATCTGTCCATGAAGTCTGATGACATGCTTACCCAACTAACCCACTTATTTGGGTTATGACTGATATACCAAGACAAAGCATTGTGAGCACGTGATTTTTGTCATACATGAAAATAACTACTAAAAATAGACCAAAAATAATTTTGATTGATTTTTAGGTGTTTTTCTTTGTTTAGTTGCATTTCATGCAATTTTAATATTTTTAAAAATCATAGAAAAACCATAAAAAGTGTCACATTTTAATTTCATGTCACCTTAGGTTCAATTTGCATTTAGGAATTAATTACATTAAGTCAATTGTGTTATTAATCAAAAAAATCATAAAAAATGGTCATTTTTACATAGTTAGATAATTAGCTTAATTTTACGATTTGAATTGGTTTAGGATTTAGTTTAGGTTTTATTTTTGAGAAAAAAGAAAAGAATTTTGAAATAATGAGAAAAGGGAAAGGAAGTGGAAAATTCAGATTTTGGGCCTTCTTAATCTTAGATCCCACAAGCCCAATTCAATTCTCCCATACCTATCCAAAACCAGCCCATGACCTGCCCAGAACCCGTGACCCATTTTCCTCCATACCCAACCCGGATCCCTCTTAAAATGACCTAACCTAGAGACCCTTTAGAGGGCAGCCGTTTTTATATATATAAAGGACTTTTCATCTTCTCCAGGGGAGGCTGCACAGCTTTGAACACAAAATAACACTTAAAAATAAACCTTAGAAAAAGCTTCGACGTTCTGCTTCTGTTTGAACCAAACGACGAGCTTCTTCTTCAAAGAAGAAGAAGCGTCTTCCATGGCTGCTTAACCCAAACAAAGCTCCTTTCTCTCATGCCAACCACCACAACCGACGTTCACCAGTTCCTCACTCGAGCTGTTGCTTCGCCGGAATTGATAACTGGCGAGTAACAACGCCACTAGCAGCAGCAAATTTGTAGAACAACGTCGTCATTTGTGTTTATGCGTAAAAATAATTCGAAATCCGTCTAGGTCTGACCAGCGACCTCCATTAACGCCGACGAAGTCACATTTTTGTTCTTCATTGCTGAAATCACAATAACTGTTTCCGTTCTTTTGTCGTTTGGCACCTTTGCCTTTTGTTCTGATTTTGAGATTCTGCCGGAAACTTCATTGTCTGAGGTTGCTGTCTAATTTGTCCAAAGCTCCGTCTGTTGGTTCCGTCGAGGTTCGAGTGTCGTCCGACGAGATTCCGCCTCATAGAGGTCCTGAACTGTTGTCTCGTTTGCTCTTGGATTCACATACTGGAAAGTTCAATAATTTGTTCAAGGTTTTCTTCTTTCTATGTTTCATTTCGTTACTCTTACGTGATTCAGTGCTTCAGTTGTGATATAAGTTTAACATGAATTTTGAATTTATGTTTTGGTTGATTCTTTGCATCTGTAGTTTGAATTAATTTTCCCCTTTTGTCATTGTTGCTAAAATAAAAATAGAGTTCTAATAAAAAAGAAGTTAGACAATGATGATGAGTTAAAATACACTGTGAGGGATTGAAATGCTGAACCGAATCAATATAGACTATTTTTGGGCAAATTGTGTTAATTTATGTTCTGGTTCAAATTGTGACTAATCAAGGGCAAGGAATATTCATGTCTCCATGGTACGAGTGTGATTTGCAAGAAAAAGGAGTACTATGGAAGTTTCACTGAATTTTGGGTTGGTTTATCGTTAATTTTGGGTGGTTAATATGTGGAGATGAATTGAGCTTTATTTTATTTAGTTCTATTTTAATTTGCTTATTTTATTGTTTGCTAGTAGCATGTTATAGGTTGACCACATGTGGGTGGACAAACTTTTAGGCACGTAATTAAATTATTGCAACTACAGGTACGGTTCCCGTGGCGTGGTTGTGATACTTAAATTAATCAGTTCTAAAAATGAATATATGTAGTTTAACTAATTGCTAATCCTTAGAAATCGAGGCGTGCCATTTAGTTGAATTTCCATGGCCCTCGCAAAGTTGAAAGTGCGTTGTTGCTTAGGCGCGCTATTTAATAATATTACTTTCCTAAACTCGGGTGCGCATTTATGTGACCCAAATTAAAATCTCAACGATGTTGAAATACGTCAAGAACCACGGGTGTATTTATGTGACGTGGTTCGAGACGTGTTTTGATGGCGTTGCAATTATTTTGAAAATGAATAAAAGCGGTTAAAGTTAAAATTTGCACATAGGTTCATAATTGTTTAAAATCAGATAATTCAAGCCGAATATAACAGTTGAGCGACCGTGCTAGAACCACGGAACTCGGGAATGCCTAACACCTTCCTTCCCCCGGATTAATAGAATTTCTTACCCGGATTTCTGTGTTCGCGAACTGTAAAATAGAGTCAATCTTTTCCTCGATTCGGGATTTGAACCGGTGACTTGGGACACCATAAATTATCCCAAGTGGCGACTTTGAATTTTTAATAATAAACGAATCCCGTTTCGATTGTCACTTTACGTTGGAAAAAACTCCCTTATTTATACATCTTTCCGGGGGTGTAGGTAAAAAGGAGGTGTGATAGCTATGGCGACTCCGCTGGGGAGCAGAACCCAGAACTTCTGGTTAAGGGTTCAGAATTCGAGTTTAGAATAACTGTTATAGTTGGCTTTTATTGATTATCTGATTTTTGTGTTTTAGCCTAATGTGCTAAATGTCGCTTTTACCGCTTTGATATTATCTGAACTCTATATATAAACTGCTACGAAACCTCTCTCTTCTCCCTCCTAAGGAGTGCACGCTGGTCGTGACTTCTTTCTGTTAGTGTCAAATCCCAAATAGAACGAGGTTCGAACAAGTTGCAAAGCCGGATGATCTTTTGGTTACCGGTACGCAGTACCCAGGTTTTTAAACTAGTATAACAATACCTCATGCCGGATCCCTAGTAGGAACGTTTGTTTGCATCATGTGCATTTTGACTTTGGAGACTCAACACAGGGGTTGAGTCTGTCTAGGACAGGTGTACCCAAAATAACAGACCATCTTGATGCATCCTATGTGCTACATGTTGAATTTCTTCGAGGGTAAAAGGGTCATTTGGCGGACTAATAATAGTTGAGGGCAAATGAAAAAAAATGAAAAAGAAAAGAAAAAGAGAGAGTGAAGTGTGAATAGAGTGTGACCCAATTATGTTTTCTGTCACATTTTTGGTTAAGGGAAAAGAAGTTGAAAATTCAAAAGAAAGAATTTGCACTTTTTCATCGTTTTCGAAAATCAAAATAAAAAATTAGTTGTTTTTGTTTTAATTCTCGCCCGTATCCAAATTGCCCAAACTACGCGAACCTAATTCTCGTCTCTCGGGGCGGGATATGTAAGCAACGCACAAAGGGTCCGGTCTTCCTAGTAAATCTTAGGTTCTTGGATTTGCGGGGTCTTAGCCAAATTTTGCACTTCTAGCCACCTTTTGGCCAAATAAGCCATTTTGCAAAAATAGCCTCAATCATGTCTTGCATGTGTCCAGTAAGGAATGTTATTGTCTCACATAGTATTGGTTTAAGTTTTCTTATACAGGTGTGTATTTACTTACTGGTGTTTGGGCATGACAAATACCCCAGGATCACTGCATTCAGAAGTTGCTCGATGAGTCATTTTATATTTTTGAGTCAATTGTTCATGTTTTACTTTCTAGTCATGTATAGTAGTATTCGGTCTTTTAGGTGATGTTGGAGTTTGTAATAGTTTAGTTAAGTTTGCAACTGTGTTACAAGTAAAAAAAAATTGCGTTTTTATATTTTCATTATAAGTTTTCTTTAGAATACTACTTCTATAAATGAAAAAAATTTCCTTTGAGGTTGTTTTTCGTTTAGGCAATTAATATCAAAATAAAAATTGCTTTTACATTTCCTTTAGTATATTAAGACCAAAAATTCAAAAAAAAAAGAATTTTCTTTAGTATCTCTTTAAAAAAATTTCTTTTAAGATATTAAATCCAAAAATCCAAAAATATTTTCTGTTGAGGTTTTTTTTTGGGAAATTGATGAAAAATGACTTGAAAAAAAAAATCTTTTACTTTTATTAGAATTTTAGGACATTGTACATATTAGAAAAAGAAAACAAAAATACTTTTTCTTTGGTTTATTTTCAGAGTTTCTTCCTTAGGTAATCAAAAATTCAAATCCAAAAATAGTTTTTTTTATCTTTTTCATTTCTTGTTTCGAACTCTTTTCTTCAGGATATCAAGTGAAAATTCAAAATATTTTTCTTTGGTCTAGTCTTTAGATTTCCTTCTTAAAAAAGAAAAAAAATCAAAAGAATATTTTTCGCTTGTATGGATTTTCCTTAATAATTTCCCATAGAGTATTTGTTTCAAAAAGGAAAAATATATACTCGTTAAGCTTGAGTTTAGAATAGGTTATAGAACATTAAGTCTAGAAAAATAAAAAATAAAAAGAAGAAAGAAAAAAAAAGATTTGTTTCTTTTGTTTCCCTTTTCTCGTCAGAGTAGTCTTTAAAGAAAAAAATGACGAGAACGTTAGTTTGTTTACTTTATTCACGATCTTCCAGAATTATGTAAAGATCATATTCATGCGGGGTCATGATACATAGGCAACCTACATAGGGTTCGATCGAATCATTTTTTTATTTATTAAAAGAAAAAAAAAGAAAAGGAAAAGGAAAAAAGAAGAAGAGAAGAGATGGTGAAATTACGGGATGTGAGAATTGACAAGGAAGAAAAAGAGCGACAATCAGAAAGAAAAGGGGAAAAGAAGATGAGCGAGCTAAGAAGTATGAGGAAAGAAAAGAAAAGATTCAAATGGACAGATTGGGATGATGCCAAGTGACCTTATGACCCTCGAAGTTATTCTAGAACTATTAATTGTTACTAGGTGCATTGCACGCAATGTGATATTTTTGCTGTTAAATGCTCTAACGCTAACGGGATGACCCCATTTTTTTCATTTTGATATCTTCATAGCAGAAAGGTGGTTGGTTTGTGGTTCTCGAAGTAGTAACTCCCCTCCATAACATAAAGTCAAAAGGCAATGGCAGGCAACAACAAAACCGAGTTGGTTGATACAGGTGCTCAAAAGCAATTGGTTGAACAGGACAATGAGTTGGTTGAAGAGGTAAAGATGTTAAGACAGCACATGGCGGATATGTATCAGGCTTGGATGACCGGGAAGGCACCACCCCCGCCACCAACTAGCTTCCTAAATGCTACCCTTACCCAACACCGGTCACAGTGCCAGATGATCCCCCATACTCTCCAGATTCACCCGCTTACCATGGCTTTCCCAACCACCCTAGTAGCTCCGTCACTCATCTTCCAATTACCTTTCCTAAAAATTGCCCTCCTATCTTTTCCACCATCCCCAATAATGAGCACCCACTCAAAGCTCACGATGCCCGATATTACCCCTCAGAGGTTGCCCACAAAGTTCCCAACTCATACAAATAGAGCCATCGGGATAAGTTGCACGTTGAAAATGAAAGGTTCATAGGAAGAGAAAGGAAAGAGGGGATACCCAGGAGGCTGAAAGGCATAGAACAATCCTCGAAGAACAGACAAGGAAGGGAAGATCAGGGCAGCATGTCCTATAAAGAACTATCTGTGTCCCCTGACATTTGCCTGTCCGCGGGGTTTAAAGTGCCAAGTTTAACTTGTCACGAGCTGATATATCTGCACAACTGGGTAAAGAAGAGGATGGTCTGGAAAAAACTGTCACGTTGAATGCAAATGGGAATCCGATGATTAGAAGATGATAGATGCTAGTACATTAAGTACTGCAATTCGAAATAATGCAGAACTACCAGCTACACTAGTTGGTACATCTCACAATGCTGAAGCAGTTACGCAAGCAGCTCCCCTTGAGTTTGCTTTGAATATTGCATCAGATGGTGCAGGGGTTGACCAAACTTCTGATGCACAAGGACAATCTGAGAAACAACATGAGCATAAGGTTACTTCTGATACAGGCCTAGCAATAGAAATATATGCTGACAGAGCAGCTATTTAATCAGCTATGCAACCAGGAGTTCAAAGTGATACTGTTGCATTGAATTCTTCTGTTGATCGATCTATACCTAGAAGTGTTAGACCTGGTGCTGTGCTTGATCTAGAAGGGGATGGTGTTTTGCTGGATTTGGTTGAAAAAGTAGGTGCTCGACAAAATAATTCTTTGAGTAATCTGGAAAAAGATTTAACAAACACCTAAGCCCATAGTTCCAATGCACCTTACTACACTTTTCCGATCCTCAAGTAGAACAAATCATCAATGATGTTCAAAAAGAAATGATGCTGAGTACTACCATGCTTAAACAGCCTTTAGTCACACTGAACACATCTGTGTTTGATATCCCCTCTCAATCAGCTAACTCCTATGGTGAATTTGAAGGTGAACATGCCTTGTCAACAATTGGTGATAGTAAAACCGTAACAGTAACAACGATTGGGCAGCATCGGCAACATACAACAACTGCAGCTGATGTTAATACTAATCCTGGGCAGCAGCGGTCCAATGCAAACAAGACTGGGCAGAAGCAGTCCAATGCAAACACGACTGGGCAGCAGCAGTCTAATGCAAACATGACTGGAGCCAAAGTAATGGTAACTGATATACCTACTATTTTGTTGGAGGACAGAAAGTTGCTGGATGCTTTGGGCAGTCCAAAACCACACAAAAGTGCATACTCATCATACTCAAAAATGATCGGACTGAAGCTGAATTTTTCAGTGACAAACAGACAGGAACCAAGTACTCCAAAGATACTGAAGAGGCATGAACCATTGTGGATGGTTATACAAGATGAAGCTAATCAAAAACTTGAGGACAACATATGCGTTGCCATCTCCGAAGAAGCAAAAGAGGATGACTTGATTGAATCTTGTCCGGAAGAGGCGGCTACAACTGGAGATTTCACTTCTAACAAAACTAAAAAAAAGAAGGCGACGCAAGAAATAACACTCAGGCAACTCCCAATAAGAGCTGCAAAGAAAAAGGGGTTGCCCCCTCCAAATCTACGAAGTCCAGTAGATACGACAACAAATGAAAAACTTTGAAGATTATTTGAAGACAGTTAAATAGGATTTTAAAGACGTTCAAATTGAAGAACTCACAAGTTTGATAAATGAGGGGCAAGATTCTAATTTCTACATTGTCTTAGTTTATCATTTTCAAAGCATCATCACTTGCAATAGCGTCATAGAATGTGTTATAAACTCTATGGCGATCATAGAGTACTTGGTACTTTCAAGATCCTATTTTTTACATGCTTGCTAGAAGATGAGGCTTTCTCTTTGCCTAAATAGCATTGGTAAGATAAGGTTTAGCACGGTTAGTGTTGCCTTGGTCCTATGCCGTTGGAAAACTATCCACAAAGCTATGAGATTTTATGCCCTCGTGAGACGTTGCCGGCAGCTACACCATGAACCTCTATATGAGGCTGCCATCATAAGGCAATGTGAGGCGCATAGGAGTGATTATATAGCCAAGGCATATGGGTAACAATACCGGTGTTATTGTCCCCCTTATTTATACTTTTCCTAATTGTTGTATTTTTGTTTTTCTTTTATTAATAAAAAACTAGCCCTATGCGCTAGCCTATCGGATTGCCAAAAAAAAAATAACACTTAAAAATAACCCTTAGAAAAAGCTTCAACGTTCTACTTCTGCTTGAACCAAACAACGAGCTTCTTCTTCAGAGAAGAAGAAGCATCTTCCATGGCGGCTTAACCCAAACAGAGCTCCCTTCTCTCACGCCAACCACTACAGCCGACGTTCACCAGTTCCTCACTCGAGCTGTTGCTTCGCCAAAATTCATAACAGGCGAGTAACGACACCACTAGCAGCAGCGAATCTGTAGAACAACGTCCTCATTTGTGTTTATGCGTAAAAATAATTCGAAATTCGTCTGGGTCTGACCAGCGACCTCCATTAACGCCGACGCAGTCACATTTTTGTTCCTCATTGCTGAAATCACAATAACTGTTTCTGTTCTTTTGTCGTTTGGCACCTTTGCCTTTTGTTATGATTTTGAGATTCTGCAGGAAACGTCATTGTCTGAGGTTGCTGTCTAATTTTTCCAAAGCTCCATCTATTGGTTCCGTCGAGGTTCGAGTGTCGTTCGGCGAGATTCCGCCTCATCGAGGTCCTGAACTGTTGTCTTGTTTGCTCTTGGATTCACATACTGGAAAGCTCAATAATTTGTTCAAGGTTTTCTTCTTCCTATGTTTCATTTCGTTACTCTTACGTGATTCAGTGCTTCAGTTGTGATATAAGTTTAACATGAATTTTGAATTTATGTTTTGGTTGATTCTTTGCATCTGTAGTTTGAATTAATTTTTTCCTTTTGTCATTGTTGCTAAAATAAAAACAGAGTTCTAATGAAAAAAAAGTTAGACAATGATGTTGAGTTGAAATACACTGTGAGGGATTGAAATGCTGAGCCGAAGCAATATAGACTATTTTTGGGCAAATTGTGTTAATTTATGTTCTGGTTCAAATTGTGACTGATCAAGGGCAAGGAATATTCATGTCTCTATGGCACGAGTGTGATTTGCAAGAAAAAGGAGTACTATGAAAGTTTTACTGAATTTTGGGTTGGTTGATCGTTAATTTTGGGTTGTTAATATGTGGAGATGAATTGAGCTTTATTTTATTTAGTTCTATTTTAATTTGCTTATTTTATTATTTGCTAGTAGCATGTTATAGGTTGACCACATGTGGGTGGGCAAACTTTTAGGCACGTAATTAAATCATTGCAACTACAGGTATGGTTCATGTGGCATGGTTGTGATACCTAAATTAATTAGTTGTAAAAATGAATATCTGTAGTTTAACTAATTGCTAATCCTTAGAAATCGAGGCATGCCATTTAATTGAATTTCCATGGCCCTCGCAAAGTTCAAAGTGCGTTGTTGCTTAGGCGCGCTATTTAATAATATTACTTTCCTAAACTCGGGTGTGCAGTTATGTGACCCAAATCAAAATCTGAACGATGTTGAAATACGTCAAGAACCACGGGTGAATTTATGTGACGTGGTTCGAGACATGTTTTAATGGCGTTGCAATTCTCTTAAAAATGAATAAAAGCGGTTAAAGTTAAAATTTGCACATAGGTTCATAATTGTTTAAAATCAGATAATTCAAGCTGAATATAATAGTTGAGCGACCGTGCTAGAACCACGGAACTCGGGAATACCTAACACCTTCCCCCGGGTTAATAGAATTCCTTACCCGGATTTCTGTGTTTGCGGACTGTAAAACAGAGTCAATCTTTTCCTCGATTCGGGATTTGAACCGGTGACTTGTGACACCATAAATTATCCCATGTGACGACTCTGAATTTTTAATAATGAACAAATTCCGTTTCGATTGTCACTTTAAGTTGGAAAAACTCCCTTATTTATACATCTTTCCGGGGGTGTAGGTAAAAAGGAGGTGTGACAAGCATCTCTTGTGAGGCTTCTCATGAATAGTTTCATGAGGATTTGTTCATTCTTGCCCACTCTTACTGTTACGCCCCGCAATATTATGTCGATATTTTATCCTATAGCATTATATTACGATGATGTCATGCCTTGCGGTATTACATTACGATGATGTTACCCTTCACATTATTAAATTACAACGATATTGCACCTTTTAGTATTGTACATTGAATTTTTCGTAAGGTAATTGAGATCAGTCCAAGGAAAAGGTTATTTAGAGATTGTAAGGATTATGCTATTTCAAACAGGTGATGAGTAAATTCGTGAAGGTGAGAGGGGATGCAAGTCAAGGAAAATGAATTTTCGTCCAAGTTTGGCATGTTGGGATAAAATACGGCCGAGCAATAATACCCGATATTTATTGACTAGTACCATACCAGGTACTATATGACCATGATAGTAGGATGTATAAACTGTATTAAAAATAAGTAGAATTTTAAGTAATTTGAGACAATTCTTAATTATGCGGGTAATTGATTAATTATTGGGTAATGGGGATATTATCCAATTAATTAAAGAACTATTTGGATAAAGATGGAAAGTGTAACGTGGAAGCAAGCCACTCTTTAACTATATGAATCTTGATCAATCTTTATTAGGTGACAACTAATGTATTAGAAGACATTCATTTCATTACTTATATTTTTCATATCAAATATTACAATCACAAGTAACAAAACGACGTTATCCATTCTTATAGGCATTCAATAAACATCAATCTCAAAGCATACAAATCAAATTACTACATTGATAACATGATTTCCTCAACAAAAAAATCCAACGAGGTTTATTAACACAGTTAGCAACGCGACATTTGGCGATTCTGAGGGAGTACGGTGCCACCTTCTCCAATAATATCTTACGAATTATTTCCTACCCTAGGTATGTTAAGGCTAAGTCCTTCCTTCATTTTGGCATGATCTCGTAACCACATGAGTTTGATAACAAGGCATAAAGAGAAATTCATATTCCTAAATTTACGTACATTTCCTAGTCTTGTAAGTTACAATATTCTCCTTATCCGGACTTCATATTCTATTGATTATTTCCTTCTTCCAGTCAAGAGAGCATAGAGTTTATATATATATAGTATTAAAGTATTTTCATTACCATCGAGCTATAATCGATGGGCAGGCCCCTGTTGGGCAACCTCTGATCAGATGGTAAAATATATACCGAGCCTACTGTGGCCGAGCGCCTATGAGCGAGCCCAACATGGACGAGATACAGAGCCTATTATAGCCGAGGTCCTATGAACGAGCTTACTATGGCAGAGCAGTTATATATATATACCAAGCCTTATAGGGCCGGACAACTATTTTACTTACTATATTGATAGAGTTGAGTCAGTATCAGCAGGTAAGCATATCTTCAGATTATCTTTGACTTCCAGCTATATGCAATTATTATATTATCAGTTCAGTTCAACTTTCAGTATATTGCCTTTCATACTCGGTACATTATTTCATACTGACATTCATTTTCTGGGGGTGCAACATTTCATGCGAGTAGGTTGAGACAGGCAGATGGGTAGACCTCCTTCTTAGGTGTTTCCCAACTTCAGCTTGATTAGTAAGTTGCATACCCTTCGGAGTTGTTGGGTCTAAAGCTTTACTTACATATTTGTATATATGTATATATGTTTTGAGTAGGTTAGAGCCTTGTTCCGATCATAGTATATCCATCAGTAGAGGCTGTAGACACATCATGTCAGTTAATATAGTATGTTGGGATTGTAGGCCTTTTATGTACATTTTGTTGGTTTGTCAGTTGCAGTATTTATAATGTCCTTGTCTTCCCAGCTTTATATTCATATTTAGTAAGTATTCGCAATTGTCTTGCAATGTGGCCCATGGCCAAGTATGATATTATATATTCAGAGTCCCTTAGTTGCAAGTTGGTACGCGAGAATAGGTGAGGCACCAAGTGCCGGTCTCGCTCCCCAGGTTCGGTGCGTGACTAAAGTGGTATCAGAGCAGTTCTGTCCTAAGGAGTCTATAAGTCGTGTCTAGTAAAGTCTTGTTTATGGGTGTATTGTGCACCACACTTATAATGTAATGACCCGACCGGTCGTTTTGAGCTTTGCACTTTGCTCGCTAGTTCTTGGGCTTGTCTAGCCCCGTGTAATGTATTATGACTTATGTAAATCGTCGGTTTTGGTTCTTAGGGTAACCAGAATGAATTTTGAAGAAACCGTTCTCAGTTTGAAGCAAAAAATTTGAAAGGTTTGACCAAGATTTGACTTGTTGGTATATGATCTCGGATCGGAATTTTTTTGATTTGGTTAGCTTCGTTAGGTGATTTAGGACTTAGGAGCGTGATCGGAATGAGTTTCGGATATCCGTGGAAGGTTTAGGCTTGAATTGGCGAAATAGAATTGTGACGTTTTTCGGTTGATAGGTGAGATTTTGATATAGTGGTCGGAATGGAATTCTGGGAGTTGCAATAGGTCCGTTGTGTCATTTGAGATGTGTGTGCAAAATTTCAGGTCATTCGGACGTGGTTTGGTAGACTTTTTGATCAAAAGCGGAATTCGAAAGATTTTGGAACCTTAGGCTTGAATTTGATGTGATTTGATGGATTCTATGTTGTTTGAGGTGTTTCAAAGATTGGTATAAGTTTGGGTAGTGGTATATGACTGGTTTGTGCTTTCGAATGAGATCCTGGGGGCCTCGGGATGATTTCGGATGGTTGGCAGAAGGTTTGAAGTTGAGTTGGGACAACAAAAGCATGTTGTTGCTGTCATAACTGCACCTATGGTTGGGAGGCCGCAGGTGCGATGCTCGCAGAAATGGAAGGCAACTGCAGATGCGGTGGATTAGGCCGTAGAAGCGGGAAAAGGACGGCAGGTGCGAAAAGCATGGGTCAGAAAATATAAAGGGTTTCCTTGGTGATTTTGATCTATTTCTTCACCATTTTTAATTGGGTTTGAGCTTGGGGAGGACATTTTGAAGAGGGATTCAAAGGATAACGTCTGGAGCTAAGATTGTTCAACGTAAAATTCGTTTCTATGGTATTATTTCACGGATTAGAGTCGTAATTATAGAAAGTTAAGGTTAAAATTTGAAAAAATAGGGCTTGAGATTGGAGACCTTAACGTGAGGATTTGAGGGGCCATTTGTGGTCGTATTTTGGGACCTTTGAAATGTATGAACTTGCGGGTGGATAAGGAATATATTGATGTTAATTTTATCGAATTCCGAGACGTGGGCCAGGTGGTCGGGTTTTGGTTAATTTCGGGATTGATGTTGTATATTGATTATTTTTGCATGGGCTTCGTTCCCTTAGCATATTTTGACGTTGGGATTCTGATTTTAGATAGATTCGATGCGGGTTGAGGCGGATTCGGGGGGAAAAAGCATCGCGGGTTAGAGTTTCGATAGGATCGAGGTGCGTAATGATTTTAAATGTTGTCCTGAGGGTATGAAACCCCGGATTTCACATCATTGTGCTATATTGAGGTGACGCACAGGCTAGATGAGGAGCGTGGGGTCGTGCACCTTTGGGGATTGTGACTTAGTCAATCCCGGATGATTGTTTTATCGCGTATTTGATTGAAAACTGTTTGTTATCATCATGTTTTGGGCTAAATGCCATATTTGGGCCTCGTGCCAACTATTTTGACCCTTAGGGGATTTTTACTGCTATTCCTCACTGTTTTGACTCTATAAATGCACTTAGTCATGTTATATTCTACTTTTTTCATAACTCAGCCATGTTTACTCTATTTTAACACATTAAATGATATTTTGGGCTGAGCATCATATTTTACTGTGCCCCAGTAGCTTTTAGAGATTTATGACTGTGTAAGGCCGAGGGCCTATGTTGTGAGGATACTTTTGGGTCAGGCTACATGCCGCAGCAGTGATACACTAAATTATGATTATGAGGCCGAGGTCCTGAGATTGTATGCCACAAGGTGGCTTGTTGCTATGAGGCCGAGGGCCTATTAATTATACCACGAGATGACTTGAAATTGCACTTGGGTCATAAAGGGCCCCTTTTGGAGTCTGTACACACCCGGTTAGTGCGGGTACCCATTTTTATGTGTTTGTCTCTTCAAGTTGTCTGTCATTTACTTGTTTACCTATTAGAACGGTGTTTAAGGAAGCTTATTCTGATCTAAGTTGTTTTTATAAGATTTCACTGTCTCTTTGCCTTTTTATGGTTTT